TAGTGACCAGCAAGGTGGACAGAGTTCAGATGGTGTGTGTGTGTGTGTGTGTGTGTGTGTGTGTGTGTGTGTGTGTGTGTGTGTGCGTATTTCGGTGGCATGTCTCTGGGTGTGTGTGAAGAAACGACATGGGGCACATCCCAAGTCTCTTGTTTGATATTTCCTTGCTCCTTGATCCTCGCTTGAAGTGGACGTCGTTCTGGTCCGCCATTTTGAAGGTCGTCCCAAAGCTCTGATTTCTGCTCCGAGGAGCCAGGAATCAAGAGCGAGGGGGGATCTCCGAGGAGCTAGGAGCGAGGATACACGAGAGCAGCCTCTCCATGCATCCTCGGTGGGAGGGACTAAGACGCAAGGAAAGGACGCAAGTGAGGAAAACGTGGATGCAATTGTAGAGACTTAGGATGCGTTGGCTGGTCCATGGTTTCATTAGATCAAGAAAACCAACAGAGGGGGTTTTGCGCAGAAGTTGAGGAAGAGAGTCTGAGGGCGGTGGGGGTGGTGGTGCTGGAACGCCACCTCCGCCCCTCTGACCTCATCTATAATTCAGCAGCCCGCTCCGTGAGACGGAGACCGCTCCCCACTTCACTCAGCACTTAAAACATCTCTCTCGCTCTCGCTCTCTCTCTCTCTCTCTCTCTCTCTCTCTCTCTCTCTCTCTCACATTGTTTTTGGCTTTTGGGAAATCTACCAGCCACTTCCATATTGTACCAGCATTTGGCTGGTGGCTGGTGCTAACTTTGTGCCCTGCCATCCATCCACCTGTCCATCCCACCACCTCAATATTCAGTAGCGGTGAAGAGTGGTTTGAGGTGATTCTAGTAAAATGGAGGTGCTTTAACAGTGTAGTGTTGAGCCTTTGTGCATTCGCCCTACGATGACTATGGCTATTTTCCTGTTTTCCACAGAGGCAGAATCATACATTGCTTAATTAAGACTTCCTTCCTGCCTCATTTCTCTGCAGTTCTCTTTGTTCCCATCAGATTGTGGTTTCATGGATTCACCATGAGACAGCAAGAAGGCTGAGAGCGGAAATGCTGTCCGGTTCTGTGGTCTCCTCTCCTGGGCTTTTCTAGAATATTCTTCTGACCAAAGTTAATTAACACTAATTTCACACATTCTGTTATTTTGGTGGGACTTTAGGTGGGATGCAAGTGGATGAACGCAGAGGTCTTTCTAGCAGGTGGGAATACTTGTTGTGTCGTGGGTCAGGAGGTTAGAAGAAGAAGAAAAAGAAGGCAGGCAGGCTCCTTAGTGACGTGCATCTGAATTCACTGCGGGTCGCTTTGGATAAAAGCGCCTTTTATGATGAATAATGATCTCATAATAACGTGACCTTAACTTGTATTTCCACTTCAGCTCTTCCATCGACCAGAACAGTTATGAAGCACAGAAGATAAAGCACCAAAACTACACTGGTACTCTTTACTAGTACCAGTCCTTTTTTCCATGTCGTCGTGACGCCACAGCCAACAACAAACCATTAGCCTACTGTTGTCCCATTCACTTCCCTTCAAGGAGTCCCTTGTGGACGGTTCTGATAGTCACTTCGCCCCAGTCCTGTGAGTCGAGTTCATTATGTCCCACGTGGAACTCATAACTGAATCCCCCTGTGTTCTTCATTTGGACGCACCTGCTATTTAGTAACGTTCGTCACTAATGAAAAGCTGCCGTCTGTGCATCGGTGGCGTTATGAAACATGACTCTCAATCTGCATGTTTTTTTCTTCTTGCTCAGATTAATAATTTATTTGATGGTGGATTCGGCCATTAAACTCTGCATGCTTGGAGAAATAAGTGTTGGCTCACTTGGCTAACTTGAAACTTCATATGGTGATGCGTTAGTTGGGATTTCTATTAGGTTATTAGACATTAGTTAAATCACAGATCTGGACAACATCAGCACAACTTTCTGCCGTCAGTTCGAACTTGAAGGTGAACTATATTCCTATGCTAGATGTGATGTCCACAAATAGGCCAAATAGACAAAAACAAGGCACTGGTTGGTCTCCGTTTCAAACTTTTTCCATATCAATTGATTAGCTCAGCGTTTCTCTTCTCCTTGATCCTCTCGGATAGCATTGGGAGCCTGACCTCACTAATATGACTGGCGCTAGCTCGTGAGTGGTTAACATAGCGACGGAAGAGCCAAGCCATTAGTTTAGGTAACATCAGCTGGAATCATTGGGGGCCGGGCGGTACACACTTTGTAACCCAGTGAGGACCTCCTCTATAAGCAATGCTCTCCCCCAGGTGTGTCATTATCATCCAGACCAATGAAGGAAAACAACAATTGTGTCAAGCGCTACTCATCTCTTCCGCCGCCCAACTGCTGACTGCAGAGGAGGGACCTGTTCATCGGCAAGAGATACCGCTTTCATTTGTCTCGCAACAATTGAAGTCATTATTTTGCCCTGTGAATGCATGACTTTGTCGGTGCGCTTGAAGTGAGTGAGATAAAAGCAAAGTATTCGACGTGGTTGTTGTTGTTGTGGCTTCGTTTGTGGCTCCGAGAGACGAGGTGAAATAGCATTCAGAGCGTGTCTTACCTCCTTAATGATGCATCTCTGAGTGAAACAGAACCGCACCATTAGCAAACTCAAAGTGTTCCTAGTCTTTACAGGCACTAGCCCTCACTTCCTAAATCTCCAGTGGTTCTGTACGATCGCCATTGCACCCGCTGTCCAATAACATAGTATGCTAAAAAAGCAGCCTAAAGTGGTCCGTGAAGCAGATTCAGTCCGAGGATTCAGTGTACAGAGGAAGTGCTTTACGCCCATGAATCAAATCTGAAGGTGTTCCACCACGAGTGAACGGGCGATAAGGTGGACAGGAGGACATAGGAGCTCCTTTTGCAATGCGTCCACAGTGTCAAGCTCAACATTTAACAGACATGCCCAGAAGAGATGGCTCGCCAATGACTCTACAGCTACGGTCTGCTACAAAACCCCTCGCTGTCTGAGTACACAGGTGAGAATTGCATTCATACATGGGAAAGAAGAAGAAGCAGGACATCGTTGTGGTCCCATTGTCAAGGAAACATGCCCATAAGAGCCTTCATAAAGGACTGGTTCAATTAGACTTGGGCTAGGTCATTATGATACTGCATTAGATCTCTCAGTAGTGAATGGATGGGCTGACAAGCGGGCTTTAATGAAACCATGGAAAGATGCCATTAAGGCCAGACACGGAACTGAGCAAAGCAAAAACAACCACCGATGCAAAATGACTTGACAGACACGGCACTTCTTTTGGGTGACAAGGCTTACGTAACGTTACGTAACGTTTACCGGCCAGCTGTTGGGTGACGCTCAGGTGGCTAATGGCGAACAGAAGGAATGGCGCGTGGGCGACTGTTAAAAAATCGCAAACAACACCAAGCGGAACGCATTTAGCCACAGCTAGCCCGACGCTAATCACAGGTTAATGGGTGTACCCCGGTGAGGGGAAGGAGAGACAGATGGAGGGATGACAGGCGGGGAGAGGAGAACGAGCAGACCAACATTAGCCGCAGCCAGGACTCCTGGGAGAGAGCGAGGGAGGGGAAGAGGAAGGGGGAGAGGGAGAGGGAGAGGGGAAGAAGGAGGGAGAGGGAGAGGGAGCGGGGGAGAGGGATGGAGAGGGATGGAGAGGGAGAGGGGGAGGGAGAGAAGAGACAGATGATTTTAGATTTCGAGCGAAGACAACAAGGGAGAAGGAGCAGAAAGTCGGGCTGTCAAGGAGCGAGAGATGTAAGCGTTTGTGAGAGTGAGAGAGGAGCATCACACGCACACAAATACATAATTTAGCTGGAGAGACAGAGAGAGAGTGACAGAGAGAGAGAGAGAGAGAGAGAGAGAGAGAGAGAGAGAGAGAGAGAGAGAGAGAGAGAGAGAGAGAGTGAGAGTGAGAGAGAGGGGGGGAGAGAGAGAGAGAGAGAGGGAGAGTGAGAGGGAGAGCGAGAGTGAGAGTGAGAGAGAGAGAGGGGTGAGAGAGAGAGAGAGAGAGAGAGAGAGAGAGAGAGAGAGAGAGAGAGAGAGAGAGAGAGAGAGAGAGAGAGAGAGAGGGGGAGAGTGAGAGGGAGAGCGAGAGTGAGAGAGAGGCGAGAGAGAGAGAGAGAGAGAGGGAGAGGGAGAGTGAGAGAGAGCGAGAGTGAGAGGGAGAGACCGAGGACTGGGCTCACAAAGTGGCCTCACCTTATCCGTGTGACATTACATTTCCTTGCAGGTAAACAAGAAACAAACAATGGCAATTAAAGAAATAGAACACACTGTACCCTGTGTGTTATAAGCTGCTCTGCAGAATGGCATGTAGGTTGATTGAAGAGAGCAGGAAGTCATGGGTTCATGTGGTTTGAAAGAATAGATATGATTGGTCGCTGGAGGGTAAAAGATGTGGTGAGAATACAATCTGTATTTAACTTCTCCCCAACCACAATGAGCAAAAAAAATAATAGATTCAAAATTCCTCTGAATCTATAAATATATTAATGTATATGTCGATGTGTAAAGGTGTGCAACAAATATTCTTTACCATACAAAGCAATCGCAAACTGAATTGAACCCCTGACTGCTGAAACATGCCAAGGCTCAAGCCCTGGGTTAGCCGATGAGCACTTCCCCACTTTCGGCCGAGCTGCAGCGCACTGCGCCGCCCAGTGTGTTGTTTTCGGTGTGGCGTCTATTTATTCCTAGTCTATTTTAGCCGGGTTTTTTTCCCCATTTTGTTTTCAGCTGATCAACTGAAATGGCCTTGAGGAGCGAGTCTGTGTGGGATTTAATATCCCTTCAGTGTGAAGACAAGGACGCAAGAAAGTTCAGCCCGCGTTCACCTCCTTCCGTTGAGCTTGGGTGTGTTTAGGCCTTAACACTGGCAGTGTATGTATGCCATGCTCTACCAGGTGAGCTACACCGGGAATTGAACCCCTAACCCTTGCAGGCAGTGTGAATACTTTGCTCCAATAGTTGAGCCCCACAGGAAAACAAACCCCTAACCCTGGCAGTGTAAATGCCATGCTCCACTAGTTGAGCCCCACAGGGACTTGAACCCCTAGCCCTGGCAGTGTTTAATGCCATGCTCTTCCCAGTTGAGCTAGACAGGACCTTACCTTAGCTTGGATGTGACGACCCGTGTCACCATACGACGGATGAGTGAAAGTGAACTTGAGTTGACAGACGGTTCATTGGTCGATCTTCGGACCAATGAACCAGAAAAAAACATGGAGGGCCCAGACTTTGACTTGCAAATTGAGAGTGAGAGAGAGAGATTCATTGCCTCAGACACAAACAACAAACCTTCCTTGTGTACATTGACATGTTAAATAGTTTAAATTGAGCAATGCTAATGCCTTTATTCAGCGTTTAGCATTTCAGCAGGATTACTAGCAGTGTGTGTTGGTTTTTGCCCTTTTCCTGCTGAAGCTTCATTGGACTAGCCAACGATGAAAGATGAGAAGACGCACGTTTTAGCAACTCTGCTAAATTCATGCTAGCTCCCGCGGGAAAGGGTGCATTAGCACTTGGCTAGCATCCAGTTTCAGATTGTTATATACAGCTAGGGCCAATGAGGGACTAGAACCACAACATCTTAGGCCAATGAGGGACTAGAACCACAACATCTTAGGCCAATGAGGGACTAGAACCACAACAGCTTAGGCCAATAAGGAACTAGAACCACAACATCTTAGGCCAATGAGGGACTAGAACCACAACAGTTTAACCAATGATGGACTAGAACCACAACAGTTTAACCAATGAGGGACTAGAACCACAACATCTTAGGCCAATGAGGGACTAGAACCACAACATCTTAGGCCAATGAGGAACTAGAACCACAACAGTTTAGGCCAATGAGGGACTAGAACCACAACAGTTTAACCAATGAGGGACTAGAACCACAACAGCTTAGGCCAATGAGGAACTAGAACCACAACAGTTTACGCCAATGAGGGACTAGAACCACAACAGTTTAACCAATGAGGGACTAGAACCACAACATCTTAGGCCAATGAGGAACTAGAACCACAACAGTTTAGGCCAATGAGGGACTAGAACCACAACAGTTTAACCAATGAGGGACTAGAACCACAACAGCTTAGGCCAATGAGGAACTAGAACCACAACAGTTTACGCCAATGAGGGACTAGAACCATAACAGTTTAACCAATGAGGGACTAGAACCACAACATCTTAGGCCAATGAGGGACTAGAACCACAACATCTTAGGCCAATGAGGAACTAGAACCACAACAGTTTAGGCCAATGAGGGACTAGAACCACAACAGTTTAACCAATGAGGGACTAGAACCACAACAGCTTAGGCCAATGAGGAACTAGAACCACAACAGTTTACGCCAATGAGGGATTAGAACCACAACCTCCTCCTCAATAAGACGATCAGCTTTACAGCACATCAAAGTTGTAGTTCCAGAAGTAACCCGACAATCACTGGCAACAGGTTCAGTGTTGTTGCCAAGCGCCAAGAGGCCCATTGACAGCAGTAATTGAGGTATACTGAAGCTTAGCGGCTCAAGCACTCACATTGTGCACAAGTTAGGACAGGACCCTGCGCATCACTAACTCAGTTGTCTGTCTGACGCATAACATCACGGCTCCCCTCACTTCACCTCTCTCACACACGCACACACACACACACACACACACACACACACACACACACACACACACACACACACACACACACACACACACACACACACACACACACACACACACACACACACACACACCATGCCCCTGCATGCCCCATAACACCGACAGTGTGTGTGTTCGCCCAGCAACAGTTGCCACAGTACATCCAGGGGGCACCACGCATGTGAGTGTGTGTGAGTGTGTGTGTGTTAGTGTGTGTGTGTACGCATGCATGTGTGCGTGTGAGAGAGAGAGACGTCTCAATGTCTGTGCCAGATCTCTTGTCTCTGTATAGCAGTTGTACAGGCATGCAGTATGTGTGTGTGGGTCTGAGGTGAGTGAGTGAGTGAAAAAGAGAAACACACGCAACACAGATGACGTAGAACAAGGAAGCAGTGTGTCACAAATCAACTGTCAGTATGTCTTCATAAATCCTCCACTTGTTCCGTGAACTTGAGTACTTCTAATTACTTGTACTATTTATACGTATATTTGTTGTCATGACTTCACTTCTCATACTGGTTTCCTACTTCCTCCTATATTCTCCTACTCGTCAATCAAGTCAAGTCTGTTTTATTTATATAGCCCAACTTAAAGCAATTTTTTGATTTTTTTTTGTATGGAGGTACTTATCTAGAGTCAGTGTATTACTACAGTAGAAGGTACTTATCTAGAGTCAGTGTATTACTACAGTAGAAGGTACTTATCTAGAGTCAGTGTATTACTACAGTATGAGGTACTTATCTAGAGTCAGTGTATTACTACAGTAGAAGGTACTTATCTAGAGTCAGTGTATTACTACAATGGAAGGTACTTATCTAGAGTCAGTGTATTACTACAGTAGAAGGTACTTATCTAGAGTCAGTGTATTACTACAGTAGAAGGTACTTATCTAGAGTCAGTGTATTACCTACAGTAGAAGGTACTTATATAGAGTCAGTGTATTACTACAGTATGAGGTACTTATCTAGAGTCAGTGTATTACTACAGTAGAAGGTACTTATCTAGAGTCAGTGTATTACTACAGTATGAGGTACTTATCTAGAGTCAGTGTATTACCTACAGTAGAAGGTACTTATCTAGAGTCAGTGTATTACTACAGTAGAAGGTACTTATATAGAGTTAGTGTATTACTACAGTAGAAGGTACTTATCTAGAGTCAGTGTATTACTACAGTAGAAGGTACTTATCTAGAGTCAGTGTATTACTACAGTATGAGGTACTTATCTAGAGTCAGTGTATTACTACAGTATGAGGTACTTATCTAGAGTCAGTGTATTACCTACAGTAGAAGGTACTTATCTAGAGTCAGTGTATTACTACAGTAGAAGACGGTTGCGCTTATGCGTAGGAATACGGAAGTTGTACGGCTGAGAAAATGTAGTGCCAAAGGCAGTGTTGTAGTACTCGAGTCCGGGACTCGGACTCGAGTCCGACTCGTGAGCTAAATTTAGAGACTCGTGACTTGACTTGGACGCGAGCACTGAATGACTCGAACTTGACTCGGACTCGTGCCTTAGGGACTCGAGAATTAAGACGAGGACTCGACTTTTTTTTTAATGTCATTAGGCTATAATTGTAATATGCCATTATTCTATAATTTGGTATATGATTAGTGCAAGGGAATGTTACTGCTTCATGTCATACATCACACGTAACTAAGTTAATGTAACTAATGTAACGTAATACGTAATTACGTAACTACGTAAATAACCCACACAGCAAAATGACTCCGCGACGGATCCGCCGCGGAGTATCACGGCTTTCGGAACGGATCCGCGAAAACGGACCGTCGGGGTCCACTTGCACGCCGCGTTGGATCCGCTACGGAGGTGGATCGCGGACCCGCCGTGACTCATAACCATGTTATGAATAGCTTGAATAGCATGAATAGCTTAAGCTATTCATGATAGAAGACATGAATAGACGGCTAAAATAAGTTTTGCTGCTGGCCCCGTTCACAGCAGTACATTGCTTAGCGTCTGTGCTGCTGGTACAGCTGTCTGCTTCTCCAAACTGGGGGCGTGCCGACCGCCGTCACTGACTCTAGATAAGTACCTCATACAACCCCACTTCAAAAGATCCAAACTATCCCTTTAATCCCAGTTCCAGTCTCAAAGGGCTTCACAGGCCCACATTATACGACACCCCCCTAACCCTAAGCCGTCCAAGGCTTTGTTCAGACTGCAGGCAAATCAGATGTATTACAGACAGCTCTTTCAGATCAGAGCGACGGAAGATGCACTTCCGTCACTCTGGATGTGACGTTGTCGCTGTGTGCGTCGCGTTGCAAGTGACCCTTTTGAACGGCCAGAGCGTCCAGGCGGAGACGCACATGTAAAAGTCAGATTGCAATCGTATTTCAAACCACCTCCAAATGAGGCTTTGCAAAAATTGCAACTTTTTGCTGTGCAGACTTTCTAAAATCAATTTGGATACAATCTGGATATGCCAAAAACTGGATTTGGGCTGGCAGTCTGAACAAGGCCTAAACAACAAGGAAAACGTCTCTTAATTATCAAGGAAGAGTAAGTAAAACACTAAACAAAGCCGACTACTACTTCCTAATCGGGGCTGGAGCGCCAAACAGAGGTCCAGTGTGGATGATGTGGACCAGAGAACAGCACCAGATGAAGGGGTGCGATTGAATTGACTGATGTCAACACTGCGTTGGTGACACCCATGACTGCCTCAGAGCGCTTACGTAACCCAACAACAATGCCCAGCGAGAGAAAGAGGACAGTATGGAGACACACAAACGCTAGAGGAAGAAGACAGAGGAGAATGACTGACTTCTGTAAATGTAGAGAGAGAGAGACAGAGACAGAGAGATGGAGAAAGACTGAAAGAGAATGACAACTCAAATTAAATACGCCATACACACACACACACACACACACACACTCATCAAACCTCTGTTTCAATTAGATGTAGGGTGACTAGATGCTTACCAGGGTACGCTTCCCTCAGGCTATTTCTCCTGCATAATCACACATTCACATTCAATTAATCACAACAACGACCTAATGGGGAAAACATGTCATTCAGATTTCAGTACACTAGTGCAGCGCCTGTTCAAAATGTGCCTGTTCATAACGGGCCGACTGCTTGGCCTCCGGCACTGCTGCTTGCAGCTTTCTGGAGAACCGCTCACCCAAACAACTTCACACTCGACACCGCACTTCGTCCTTAGATGGGCAACAATCCCGTTGGGTTAGTTAGGTACAGTATTCTTTTGGCGTCAGTCTGTCCTAATACCCACAAACTACACCCAGGACCTACCACCATCACCATCATCATCATCATCATCATCACCACCATCACCATCAACATTATCGCCACGTGTTTAGAACAACATAAATCACCAATGGTTACAGGGGATAATCGGTTCACGGCAACAAATTGATCGTTGTGTTGACATGCGGTCGGGTAATGTGAGAGGGAAGATGGGCC